TATTTTTAATATCTTAACAAGTGGCTTCTGAATTTTTGCCCCACTAAGCATTTTACCTTCACTGTAATATTTGTAATTCATCTGTTCTTAAACCATTTAAGCATGACAAAATCTATTAGATTATCCATGAGACAACTTAAGAGGTTGTAGCATTCGCTTATGTTTTAAAGGCCAGGAAGCCCAAATATAACAACCTGGACTAATTACAAGAGATTCTATAACACTTAACAGAGCAAAACTCTGGCACTGCTGACAAAGATAAACGGAAAAACACATAATAATTGGCTAAATGTAAGGTAAAAAAAAGCAAGAGACTATGAGGGAAAATGCTCTTTAAAAGAATGTGGATCGCTAAGTTTGGCATTATAAACAATGACATGTAAAAGAGAAGCAGAGGCAAGGTACCTTTTCGATATGAGGAACAGATTGTAAGCAATCATTAAAAGCACCACAAAAACTTTAGATATAGCACTCAAAAATCCAGTTTATACTATACAGTCACATAACAGTGAGGTGAATGGGCATATAACAAATTTCGGGATATAAAAAACTACACCAAAAGTTTAATAAGAATTATGTTACAGAAGAGATGATAAGGAGGCTCTGAAACGAGATGATGATGGATTCAGTCATCCAAAACTCCAAGAATAAAAACAAAGAACGAAGATGATATTCTGAAAAAGTTCTAGGTCAAAAAAGCCTGTTTTTTAGATAAAGAGGGCATCATTCTTTATGGTGAAATAGATCATTACAAACTACCTAAACAAAGGTTTTGACCAATAAGGTTAAAGAAAACATTGCCTGAAATCAGAACACTACCAGAAGATTTGTGTACCACACACACACACAGCAGGCCTCAAAATACTGGTATTTAGTTAGAAGAACCAGGAGAATATGGATAATTAATGTAATCCAAGAATGAGATGTTACACCAGCTGAAATGGTCCACGAGAACTGATGAATGTGTGGTCACCAAATGAATAGATAAAATAATTGTATTAATGCTTACACAGCATTTATTAAACAGAATGAAAAATATAATAGAAATTGTTATAAGTAATGTCCACATTATATTTTATAAACAAGAATTACAATAGCCCGGAAGGTAAGGGATGATATAATTAAAGAAGCTAACGAGGTGAAGAAGTAAAACAAAAATAAAATATTTTGTTACTAATAAAATGAAATATTCCTATATCTTTCTGGTAAATAGCATTACAAAACAACCATATTAAACTAATCTATATTTAAAAAGTCTTTTGGACACTGATAAACATTCTAAAATTATTTAAGAAGTGCCAAGTGTCTTATAAGAATAGTTTGTCAGGTAAGTAAAGGGATGATGGAAAATTTCTTTAAAATAAGTTTTTTTTTTCAACAAACACAATGTGTAGGATCACTAACAACTGTAAAATAGATTGTCAGAGAAAAATATGAGATAATGTTTAGTAACATAAGAGTAATAGAAATAGATCTCACTTAATAATAGTTTATTTCATTAGAATTTCATGCAGAAATGATATAAAATGAAGTGCGGAATGTTCAACCACCTTGTTTCAACAAGTATTTTAAATCTACTGTACAGATTTATATTTTAAACATGTAAACTTTTCACAAAAACAAGTAATATTTACCAGAATTCTCAGCTATGAAAATTACTTATCAAAAAACATTACTAAAATGTTGAGAACTTTACGTTTTTTTTTCTCACAACAAAGATAGACAAAAAAAAATTTTTACACTGCTTATTTTACACAACTGACTAGGCTTAACAAGCAAGGGACCAACAAAAGGTGCGTGTTCAATGATTTAAAATCAACACACAAGCTGTTTATTTGAAAATAAAAACAACAAAGGTTCAGAGATCTGATCTGATATCAAGAGTAGTGTTTTATACCGTGAAGTGCATTTCACTGATATTTGATCCACACTCCTCAATAAAAATAGTCTGTTTACATGTACATACAAACATTTAACAGATTAGCACCAAAAACTAGCACTAAAACGTTTGCTGATCTACATTTTGTAACTGATTTTAACCCACAGAAAATTATATACAAGAATAAGTGACAGAACTATTGGGGCTCTAAAAAATATTATTTAACTAGTTTAAATGTTTAGGGTAAAGGCAAAGATTCTATACAAAAGCAAAAGTTCGGGAATTTATTAGTGTTAAAACTTGTAGAAAAGCATGACTATTAATCACAGGAACACTTACAAAGATATGGATAAGCATTATAAAAATTGCTAATTAAATAGTTTATCCTCCAAGTGTCAAAAGTAGACCACACTAAATATCCTAAACCATTACAGGGGTTTACATTAATTTAAAGGCTTGTGAGTAAATACTTTGACAAAATTTTCTAATTATTGCATTAATTCTGAATGTCCCTAGACAAGAACAAAATCTTTTACTAAGTTACCCGGCAATAGGAGTAATTTGAACTTATTTTAATACTTCTTTCATTAAAGGTCGTTATGGAGTTGGTAGAATCCTCTGGAAATAGATGATTAAAACCCTCAAAAAATCTATCCAGTATTACAATATGACGCTTAAAAATTCCACTATTTGTAGCTTCCAAAATGCTTAATAACACATTTGGTAGTTTTGAACTGTTCTATTAGTTATAAACAAAATTTATAAACAAAAATACAAATGTAATAAATCACTCCAATAAGGTCTTAGCTTTAAAGGTTTAAATCTATTTAAAAATCCTACTTTTTGAACATTGCTTTATTTCATTAGTCACAGGTATTCCTTTGCAAAACAGTACGAATAATTTTTGTAATTAAGTATTAAATTGTGAAAATAATGTAAAAGTCTAGTTTTCTATTTTGCCAACAAGAACACAGCTGAAATACAGAGAGTTCTAAAACAACTCTTTCTATTTAATCCTCACACTAGACCAGAGGTATGTCCTTTGAAAGTAATACCTCCAAGGTAGTCAACAGCATTAACATATTGCTTTTACTATACTAATCCAAATGCTTCTCAATAAATCGAAAAAAAAAAATACATAATACAAAGAGTTCTTTTATAACATAAAACACAGTATGGTTTAATAAATCTTTATCTTTAACAAGAATAAAGTCTTTTCAAAAATTCAACAACTTGGAATACAATACGAAGTCTTAAAACTTTTATCTGCTTAGCACGTCTCCTTTTTTTCATTGTTTGTTTAGTAACTTAAGACATTGTACGATGAAATGGTTGGTATAAAAATAACAATGCGTTCACCAAAAATACAAGTGCATCTTTCTTTGATCAATTAAAATGATAAGATAATAAATTATAAAACCGACTCTTTTTATTTCTCTCCAATGAGCTGTAAACAAGCAATACATTATGGAATTTTTTTCCAAGGAATTTTCAATATAAAATATCTATTACCATGTATAAATCTGCTTTCCATTTTCAGGAGGAATGGCTTAATTTGCCATTATTCATGATTACTTTACACACACACACACATATTTGGTTTAAATATACATCCCACTGAGTAAGTTTTATACTATGACTAAACCTTTCCCAAGATCTTTAAATTTATGACTAATTTTTGCTTCAATTTTCCATACTTAATAATGAATGTATTATGTTTCTAGCTTACATCTTTTCTCATACAAAAGCTGTCAACATGATTTTTATTAATCTGACACTTGCTTGAAACTGAAGGGCGGTAATTACACATGTCAACATTGATGATATTGAGTCAAAATACGAGTACACACTTTTAATTTCATACTATAGTCACACTATCCTGAAACTTCATTTCATAAATCTATGGATACCTCATTAAAATGCATATGTTCAGCAGTACTTGATGAGCACAAACTTTTCAAATTAAGCCAAGAAAAATATTCACTATAACCAGTAACAACTGACACATACAGAAACTTGGAGAAAAAACTGAAGAGAATGTTATACTTGTAAGAACTTTGTTTTTCTAAGTATGCTTGACCCTCATAACTAAAATTGTCCACGTTTTACTTTTCCTCAGATTCAGATTTCTGAGTCTTTACTTCCACATAAAATGGTACCTGGTAGTGGTTACTAATGTCAACTATAAATATTTGAGGCAACCCCCCATTGATTATGTATATGTTTCAGGTGATCCACTGCCCGTTTACTAATGTTGAGACCAGGATGAATAGGAAGTACTCCTTCTTTTCCAGCTAATGATAGTCCTCCAATTCCTAGGTATGTGTGTAGTGGATCTGTTGATAAATTAAAAAAAACAACATAAAGTTAGATATTTAAGTAGACAATTTTTTTTCCCACTTACATCTTATCATAGATATACTGTCTCTCAAGTGTGTATATCTACATATTCATTCTTAAAAGCGATTGTTATTTTATTACATTTGAATACAGAATACAATTAGCCTAACTTTATGGAAACTAAGTCTATAATTTATCACAGTACACTTAAGAGAGATTACAAAACTTTTTACATCAGACAAAACTTACCAGGTACTACATCAGGCCATTTAGCTAAACCTCCAGCTATATCATCTTGTGTAGACAGAATAAAAGCAATGTTCTGCTGAGTATCAACAAAATGGTAGTAGTCCAGGAGCTAAATGCATACAAAAGGAAAAACAGTTCCACATTAAAGAAAAAAGTAAATTAAACATTTCTGTTTCATGTGAAATATTTCCATACTAATGGAGTTTTCATCTCATTCAGATCAGCCAAAACACTATTTTCTTTTGGATTCTCTACATGAAAAATATCCTTCTTCTCAAAAGTGAGATATTTTTACAAAAAAATAAACAAATCACAATAATGATTTAAAACATGGCTTACAGTAAAATCATTGCAACAAGAATCATTACCATGCACTAAGAAAAACAAATTCAGTTTGAAATATAATTTAAAAGTGTAATCTGTTACAAAGACAATATAAATTTGTTTATGAATTCATTCCTATTTAATTAAAAAATATATATATAAGGAACAGATCTATATCAATAACTCAACACAATAATGTTTAAGGTATCTATCTGGTAGTTTAACAATTGATAGAAATCTAAAATGGTAAGTAGAATATAAATCAACTAGAATGTTTAACACTGAATCTCTAAGTCAAGTGCAGAAATTATGATAAATTTGGTGTAGATTGGTTAAATCCGGAAATCCTCATCATCCATAACTTGCTCTTCTTCTCACTATCCTCTATCGCTTTGGTTTTGGTTTTCAGCTGGTGGTATTTCTATTTCATCTTGTCTTTGTCTTTAATGGAAGTATGTCCATATTTAAAAATGCACTAGCATTGATTATGCTTCATATTAATGATCAGATCCTCACCTACTCCAGAATACTCAAATACTTTCAGACAAAATTAAGGCCAAGTAGAAAACACATCCTTACCATTGGAGAGTATATGTGCCTCTGGCATATTATAATGGACTAAATATCATTAGCTCTATTTTCAAATTTCTTGAGTTGCTCCACCAAACCTTTCACACTTTCCAGCATTTCTCACAATGGTGTTAAGGAAACTGTCAAGTGCTCCGAGTCCAACAACTGCCTGTGTCAGTATTAGAGAATTGTTACCCTCCTTCAACCATATTTTCAGAACCTCTATTAATTTTGCAAAATAAGGATCAAGCACTAATTTGTCTTCTTCTATTTCCATGTGAATAAATCATGTGATCTGAATTCCATGAGCATAAGCTAACAAAGGGGTAACCAAAGGTTACAAAGTGTTCTGACAGCAGGTCACATTATCATCTAGAGTATGATCCACTTTATACAAGGGGGGGGGGTCTTTCCTAGTCTGTAACAGCACTGCCTCTACCATGAAAAACCACAGAACCTTGATCATGTTTACTATCCTTGTCCAAGGATGGTGAACATATATCTTATACAGTACAATTGGAGCCTCTTCTTCCATTGTATAGTAAGTGACCATGACACCTTTCTTACCATTGCATTCAACTGTCTTCATTTGTAAGTACATCGGCTTGAGTTTCATCTTGAAGTCCATAAGAATAAGAACTTCATCAAAGACTCCCATAGCTTTACATCTATTAGTCATAGCAGTTGAAATTTTCTCTATTACCCATTGATGACCCATGAACAGCTTAGCTTTCTAGCAACATGAATTCAATACCTCTATAGCAGATGGTAAAGCTTTAGAATTCAATAAACTTTCTCTCACTTTATTGAAAAAGTAAAATACGTGCTTGCATCCATCACAAAATAGGGGGATTGTAAGAGTAGATTTACTGCTTGTATTTGAAGCCAGAGCTGATGCTATTTTGGAGTGCACATCGATCCATTTGGTTCCCAATTTCCTAATCAAAATCATACTTAATGTTGATCTGAACAATCTGCATTTTCTTCAGTATTTCTATCATTGGTTTACCAATATAACTTAAGGTTCAATTATCCATTTGATGAGATTAAAGTCATCATTCACTAGTAAATGTATTACATTGTCTATCATTTTATTAAGCTAAGCACCTCTGAATAAGAGTGGACACCAACTGGAAGAATAAAGTCCTTGAAATATGTTCAACCATGTTAGAAGGAACTGCAGCTTCGACATAGGCATCATAAATACAATTTCTTAGCCATTTCCTTCTAAATGGAGGAAGGATATGAGTAACTTTACCAAGCACTACTTCCCCCCCATGACAAGAACAATAATCTAAGGAAAAAATAGTTAACAAAATTGCAAAGTCAGTGCTTTCTTTGTTGAACCTGTGAAGAGTTTAAGACTTCTTGACCAAGACTTCATATTTGTTTTAGTTGTTCAAAATTCCTACACCCAGCAGCAAAGTTCTTGAATATCATTTTGAGATTTGGAATGTCCTCCTTTATGGCTTGAAGTTCACACAATCAATAAGGCAAAGAGAGCAACGAGCAGATGACTTTTTTAATCAAATCTTTTGTAGTCTAGGTGGAATGTCCTCCTTTATGGCTTGAAGTTCACACAATCAATAAGGCAAAGAGAGCAATGAGCAGATGACTTTTTTAATCAAATCTTTTGTAGTCTAGGTGGAATGTCCTCCTTTATGGCTTGAAGTTCACACAATCAATAAGGCAAAGAGAGCAACGAGCAGATGACTTTTTTTAATCAAATCTTTTGTAGTCTAGGTGGAATGTCCTCTTTTATGGTTTGAAGTTCACACAATCAATAAGGCAAAGAGAGCAACAAGCAGATGACTTTTTTTAATCAAATCTTTTGTAGTCTAGGTGGAATGTCCTCTTTTATGGTTTGAAGTTCACACAATCAATAAGGCAAAGAGAGCAACGAGCAGATGACTTTTTTAATCAAATATTTTGTAGTCTAGGCATAACATTACACCATGTTTCCCAAAGTGTTTTTCTGCATTTGCTTCCTAAAGCCTATCGGGATCTTTGCAACAGAGATGATTCTCGTGAGCCAGCAGTGTATTTTCTGCATCCAGACCACATACATACTAACCACAGTTCGAAGGCAATTTTTCATAGAGTCAATGCAGCTTTGAGGGTTCAAGTGTATTTCCATAGAATATATTGGAATAGACAGACTCTATACGATGTTCCCAGCCAAGAATGGTCATTAGGTCGGAGAGGTTATGAACCTACCATTCTTCTATCCTTGTTGGGATCTCATCCTCTGGGCCTTTCTTGAGCCCCCACCTCAATCATATATATGGCCATATCTCTTTTTTTGGACATATCCTAGAGCTCTCCTATTTCCATCTATCTATTGGTATCCCACCATGATCACATACACATTGGCTATAATTGTAACATATAAAGCAAGTGAGCTTTGGAGGTCTAAACATTTCAGACATATGAAATAATGAGTTATGTCCAAGTAACAAGCAGACTGACTCATATATCATATAAGCAGGTAGCAGTAGAGAGTCTATGCTTAGCGGTGTGGATTCTTATTAGAAGCTATATGACAAAACACCCATGACCACAGCATGGTTTGTGACAAAATGTTCCTCCTATCAACTCCGACAAAATGATCACCTCTTAACCTTGATTCCATTTTTGAAACTCAGCACACCGTTGGATTCAGCATAAAATAAGATTTATCCTGGTAAAATGTCAACAGGATAGGTCCACTACCGCAATTAGATGGTCAAGACTGACCTAGCAAATGTACTTGACTCAGAAACTCAATGTTAATGAAGCAACAAAATTTTAAAATTCTCTGAAAAATACTTTTATGACACTGTTAGTCAATGTGAATTAGTAGTATAAATTTAAAACTTACTTATAGATCAGACTAGTAAGATTTTTCAAGTTCTTAAACAAGTTAATACTTTGAAATAAATTTCAACAATATTATTTACCATTTAAGATTTATTTAGGAAAATCTCTTAGTAGTACAGCACAAAAAATAAACTCACTGTTAACGAAGCACCAACCCAAAAGGAGTAGCAAGTATCAACTGGTTTGTTTGGTCGACCTTGAAAACCACTATCTTGTCTTTTTAAACACCACCACCGAAGCTTATTGATCTGACTGGGACTGAAAGCTGTTTGTAATTGATCAATCAGTGAGAGAGCAGCTACTGCACAAAATATGGAGCCACCTACACCAGAAGAAAGTCAAGAAATCCATTTCATACAATTTTATAATGTAACCAAACATTCATGATGAATGTGTACTTTTGAATAAAAACTTTTATTGATAAAATGGTTGATGTATTAAAATATTTTGGAATATATAAAAGAAATTATATTTACTGATGAATTTTGATATAGGTTATTCATTTTTAAATGGGATGTAAAAAAAAATAAGCCTCATCTTTTGTGTGATATTACCTTACAAATAGGTCTCACAATTAAAGATTTCAGGTAACTCATCACTCATGTTACAACCACATTTAACCTAAGTATATTTTTTAAAACTTCTAAATAAAGCTTCTCATTTTCTTGATCAAACAGCTAAACATTTAAAATGATCACAACAACAAGTAAAAAAAAACACTTTAAAATGATTTACAGTGTATTAGGCCTCTCTCAAACTCTCTGGTAATGTTGTTCAGATATGTGTACGATCCATTCAAAAACTGAAATGAACATTAGCTTTAAAAAACGATTAGATCATTAATATAGTTAGCAGTATGCATGCTTTGAAAACATAGAGCCTTCAAGTGCAAAACAATAGCATCAGTACAATGGAGGATTTTTTTTTTAATTACAGGTTTCCACCTACAAAAACTTGTAACATGGTCACAATATCCTATATACTACTAGAAAACTATTAGAAATCTTGAAAATAAAATCTTTATTTTTCATTTAATTATGTTTCTAGCTATTTTTACCTTCACATTATAAAACTTTATGATCTTGAGATATTTTCAGCTAAGGATATAATTAAATAAAACAGAACACTAACTCAAGTAGCATGATATGGTACATAACTAAAATTAACTACATTTATTGTTAAACATCTAAACAATGATGTTACTCGGGTTAGTGTTCTGATTGTAAGTAATTTGAGATCAATTAAATGTATTGTTTTTTTTTAGATAATCCCATATAGAAGGAAAATCATATTGTACCATCAACCAAGTAGAAAGGATAAAATTTGTGGAAAGTTATAAAGACTGTTGTTCAGTATTATTATCTTCTCTTAAGTGTAGTTTTGGTAATATTTTGAACATACTCACCATGAGACTCAGCTCCAGGTACTTGAGCAATACCACCGTCATAATTCTGGAACGAAAAAACTACAATAGCAAAATGGTTTTTAAAATGATTCATAGACTTTAAAAATTTTATTTCCAAAATGAGACAACATTAACCCACAGGTTATAATACTATCTTATATTAATCTTAACTTTGTTTTGTTTATTTTTAGAGCAAAGCCACATTGGGTTATCTGATGTGTCTACTGTAGGGAATTGAACCCTGGATTATAGCATTGTAAGTCCATCAGCTTACCACTGTCCCACTGGGGGACATCTTAACTTTGTTTATTTACAAGATATTTTGTTGTTGTTGAAGTATGTCCCTTTTTTACAACCAATATGTCATGGCTACCCATATACTTATCATTTACATATGCTTGAATAATAATATTACATTATTACTAATATTTCAATTAATTATTCAATACTGGAAAGTAAATGGGGGATTTTTTTCATGTAAAACTCAATTATTAAAAAGTGTCTTTACAAGCATTTAAAAATATACACAAATAAAACTTAAAATATTTTCACAGCTTTACCCTGTTCAGCAACACAAGTTTTCAGGATGAATTTTTTGTTGTATAAGATGATAAAGCGAATACCTTTCAAGAATAATTATCAAAAACATTTAACAGTTTGATATTTCAAATGAGATACAAGTGCCTTTACTGTGGGAATCACTGAACATGATAATGAATTAGAACAAATCTAAAAATGATAGTCAAAAACATCAAAAATATAAGAATTTAGCAGAAACACAAAGCATGTAATTCATTGATGATAATATTGAAACTAGTATCCTAAAAGACTGACTATTAAATATGTTCACAGCCTGATGATTTTTTAATTTTTTATATGATCACCCAAGTCTAATTATTAATAAATTTCTCTTCTTTTAATTACTTAATTAGTTTATATTCTGTTTCAGCAGTTAATCAGCTTTTCAAAGTTCATACCAAGACATGTACTAATGACATTCATGAAGAAACTGAGTTCACTCATTAGTTCTCCAAAGAAGCCTTCTAATACTACAGACACAGCTAAACACACAGTCATAAAGTTAAATAAACAACCATGAAAAGAACCAGAAGAAAGTGTATTAAGCAAAGAACTAAACTTTGCCCTAACACATAACGAAATACCCACCATATAGGCCTTGAAACTAATAGCAACTAGTTGGCAGAGGTTCTTCATTCATTTCTTTTTTAATTTTGAGCAAAGCTACTCAAGGTCTATCTGTACCAGCCATTCCTAATTTGGAAGTGATAGACTAGATGACATCAACACTATACCCCACCAACTCTTGGGCTACTCTTTTACCAACAAAAAATGGGATTGACTGTTACATTATAACAACCTCTAAAAGCAGCAAACATGTGCAGCGACATGATCCAAACTCACAATCCACATAGATGGAAAAAGCCTGTGGGTTCTAGTTTTTAGCCAATGATCACCTCCCATGAAAAGAGAAGTAATATTATTCAACTTCCAATCTTCTGGCACTTGCCAACTATTCAAGGACTTAGAAAAAGTAATAGCAAGTGGCTCACATATCCAATCCTTGACCTCTTTCAAAACCCTCAGGTAAATATTATCTGGCCTAAATCCTTTGCCTTTCTTTAAACTTCTCAGTTTATGATTTCATACCTATTTTTAACAGAAAAAAAAAAACTAATTGAAAATATATATAAGGAACAGATCTGTATCAATAACTCACTACAGTAGTGTTTCATGTATGTGGTAACTTAATAGTTATAGGAATCTAAAATGATCAGAAGAAAGTAAATCAACTGGCTTATAACATATTTTCATGCAACTTTCAATGGGATTCCCCAAGGTAAAAAAAGAGAAAGTAAAAACAGCACAATCAGGTGGTTTTTCAGTTGTTTTTTTTAATTATTATTACTTTTTCCAGTTTGGAAATATAATTATCATCATAAACATCTATCTAAAATGTCATAATAGATGACAAAATATAAAATCAAAAATGCTAGACTTGCTGTCAGTTGGCTACTTATATCAGCTAAGGGCACGTAAATCATAAGTTGTTTTTGTTAATTTTTTGTCAGCACGGTTGACAATTTAGCAAGTAGTTTTAAAGTATATGTCAAACATTAAAAAGTGGCCAAATGAGTTAGTTTTACGACCTACTCTATAAATAACTAAAACCAAACTTACAGTTACCACAAGAATGAGAAGAATTCAGAAACAAAATTGTCAATAGTCCAGAAAACCATAAAATGTTAACCACCATTACAATACTACCTAACAAAAAAAACCCAATAACAATTCCAGCAGCAAACAAATCAAAGAACTCACAAGTGAAAACAAAGGAGAATATGTTATAATATGTCAACCACACTACATCTACCATATCCAATGTTAATGAAGCCTTTCACCCAATAAGAGGGATCATTAGAGTGGCTGAGACATGACAAAGTAGTGGTCTAGGGACTATACATATAATTAACATTCATGATTAACTGCCATTATGATGTGAACCAGATTAAGCAAGCGAATTGTACTTTTTTTTATCAATTTTATTTAAGTCACACACATCTATGGTTGACTTAAAATTCACAGACAAGACTACTGACTAAGTCCCATAGTTAATTACAGAGATACACCATATCACCCCTTCACTAGAAACTTTCTCACTTGCTACGAACTCACATAACTCAAATACTTCATGGTTTTACAGAAAACTCTCAGACACTGGTAAATAACTATATATGAAACTATTTCTGCCTTGTCTCCAGAATGAAGGAGACTTGTAATACAGAAGATTCTAAGAAGAGGAAGAAAAATACTTCACTAAAACCTTCCACAACAATAGACACCAGCAACATTTGATACAGAAGAAAATAATGAAGATAAACATGAATAATAAACAGGAAACAAGATACTGATGCACAGTAATATCTCCCCCCCCCTGTCAAAGCTCTCTCTGAAAACATACAGAGAAAATGTAAACAGCAGAGTATTCAAAAGCCAAACCACAATTACAGTTAATGCACACAATACCTAAAGACTCAATAGAGTAAAAACACCATTTACAACATCCCTTATGACTGTAGATTCCAACACATTGGAGAAAGAAAGAGACTGACAAAAGTCAGAATTTAGGATTATAACAAACACACAAGACTAATATGAATCTATCTGTAATAGCCTAATACACCAAAGAAGAAGATTATACAATAAAATGATGGAACATGAACTACACACAAGACAAAATAAACCTTCTATTTTTACTTAACTGATAATACCTGACCTAGAAGTCAGCAAAACCTAGATATCCCTCTAGAAACCTAATGTGGAGGACCATCAGAGATATGAATAGCACACATGCCTTTCTAACAAAAAGACCCAGGATTAAATTCCAACTATCACTACCATCCACAGTCTTTATCAGGCCTTCTCTGAAGATGGTAACAGATTGAAGCTGAAATGTAGGACATAAACTAATTAGTATTTATTAATAAAATAAATTAGCAGCTAATTAACAATTGGACTTAAGTGATTGTTTTGGTTACAAATCATGACAATGAATGATATTCATTTGCCATAACTTTACCATAAGTACTAAGTCTGATGACTTAACTTTCATAGATTTGTTAATGATACTTCTGAGCCTCAGAACACAAAAAACTCATTACAAGGTTTAATATTAAATTATAATTTTATAATTCAACTATTAAAATAGCAATAATTCAGAATACAACTATAATTAGTTAATGACAACCACATGTAATATCAAATGTTACTTGAAAAATACAAGTATTATTTGATTAAGCCTTGTTTCTTTGAAAATTAGGTAAGTCAAAAAGACAAATGCAAAAGTTCTTTCTGGTACTGATCATTTATGTCTGCTTACTATACTGTTTACCAATATATCTAATTATAAAAATAAT